TTTCACTTGACCAAATCCTTAATTTTTTTTGTCTCAATATATATTTTCAACTTATTAATAGTTCGTAATTAGCTTCACATATTTTCATGACGTCATCTATTCCTGCGCGCATGTGTAGCTGTGCACGCATTATATTTTTGGTCGGATAATAGATTCTCCCTAAATTGTTCAACTTTATCTTTTCCCAGAAAAACGTATAATAGTGGAACGGCTAAGCAGATAAATGTTCATTTAATGACAAAAACATGAAACTTTGCGCATTTATAGTTTGATGCATAGTGAACATTTTAGGATATGGATGCACTCAAAATAATTTCATTTTGCGCATGCGCAGTAGATAAATAATATTTTACATTTTCTGGCTACTGTTCTAGCTTTGGGACTACCATCAATACCCTACTAGGACAACTTTTTTAAAAATACTGACCCAAAATATTGGTTAAACATCTTGAAAACATAGCTGAGTCAATGTTATGAGCACTGGCTCTCGCAACAACAGTGAGGATTGTTTGCACTTGCATCAGTTGTTACACCCTTTTGTACAGACACGATACCAACACCTGACAAGATTGTGATGCTTCGGGTAGTGTCGTCCAGTAAGGGACATACTGTCCAATTTCGTTCTGTATCCAGCCCCACGTAGTTGGAGATGGGAGTTCAGGCTGTGGAAGAATGACTGACCCCATATATGACCTGTCTGGTAAGCTGCCCTTTTGACATGTTGTACAACAGCTGCATGTGTTGATGGGATGGCATAAATTGAGTTTCCTTCGCAAATAATCTCAAATAAAATGATTGAATATAAAAAGAAAAATATTCCCAAAGCATCCTTCCATGATGGTAGGGAAGGAGCAGTTGCCAAATAGTGCTCTTACTTCGTGTGGGTTGGAAGCTGAGGGATGTTTTAAGCCTACATCTCTGTATGCTCGAAGTATCACCGATCTTATCCAGAAGCATATAGTTGTTTTGGTTACGTCTGCTGTGACATCTCTCACGAGCGGGATGAAGAGTCGTCTTAACTTGACGTCTGGTGCTCGTTCTACGTAGATATAATGCGTAGTGATAAGTCTTCCTTATCTTCATTGCCAAGTATAGAAGATGATCGTGGGATGTGAAACTGTCGGTCTGGCTGATTTGGGGCAGTATAATCCAAACGCACTGATCCATTGGGACCTTTATCAAATCTGGTAAGGCTGACGTCTATAGAATGGATCTCTGACATTCTGAGTGAGTTTGGAGCCTTCACCTTGGTGATGACAGAGCTGATGGGTGCTAAGATTTGACCAATCTGGAAGTTTTAGAACCGGACTGTCTGCTAGCAGGATGAGTTGGCTGTCCTAGTCATCAATGGCTCATTGGACAGTCGAGGGACCCAGTGGTTAATGGCTCAGATAACTGATTGATGATTGATATGAAGTAGCTTCTCTTCTGGAGACAACAGCTCTGAGGTTACATCTGTGTCGAGGTGTGCTCCCCTACACTATAGAGACGCATCTACATACAGATACAGGTTGAACCTTGGCTCGCCGAGAAGGTCATTGCACAGACCTTTGATTTCATCTTCCACTATTGGAGATACTGTAGTAGGTGGTGTGGTAGTTGTGATCTGAAGTCCTGCTGGACCAGCAGTCAGACTAGAAACCTCTGGATGGGTTGTAGTTGCAGTCTGCCCCTCTTCGTGAATGATTGGGTTGACGTTGGGCAGCAATCCTAGTGTGAAATGCAACTGACGTTTGAGTATAACGGCTTGTTGAAGTGATTTAATGCATTGTCTAGGTAGAAGGTGCATATAATTACCCTGTTGTGCAGGAAGCTCATGATGGGCTTGGTTACCCGTATGAATAACCATGGGCCATGAAAATGCAAAACTGTAGAACCCTCCACTGGTTTTTTTGATGGTTTGATGGTTGAACAAGAATCGTAGATACTTCCTGGACCCTGGGTGGATTGGCATATGCAGATATGCATCCCTTAAATCTATGCTTGCCAAAAAGTTGTTCTGTCTTATCATCTGCTTCAGCTGTAAACGGTGGAGAATTCTGAACTTCTCTGTCTTCAATAAGTAATCATTGTTGAACTTCTTCATATTAGTCTGGATTTTTCTGATAAATTGTTCTTGGGAACCAAGAAAATTGGGGAGCAGGACTCTGGGTCGAGTGCCTCTTGAGGTAAAACTTCTATTGCTTCTTTGAATAGAAGTGACTCAATCGCATCTGTGAGTTTGAGTTGTAGGGTTTCTGCGTAATGTATCTGTGGAAGATAGAGTGGAGTGATGGCGTCGTGTTCACCGGAATGGTATCTACTCTTTAAGATATTTGTGATGAATGGGTCTTCCAGAAGGCCCCAGTTTGGCCAATACTTCCTTGTCTACGTATTTAGGTGAGTCCCGCTGATGCTGAGCAGATCTGGTCGGAGATATACTCCTGATACTTCTGCTGGTTGACCATGGACAAAAGCATACGTTCTTTGAAGTGTGATATCATCACCTTCTTGATGGATCTGGATATGGTGAGGCCCAGGAAGACTCGTCTGATAATAGTATCAAGCTGAGCAAGCTGGGAAGACCCTGCATTCTGGTAGCTTTGGTTCTTGATGACTTGCAAAGTTGCTCCAGTGGGTGGTAAGGTGAAGGAGGACGATCCTTCGATGGGGAAGCTATGAGTAACCCATCTAAAATCCAAGCTAGCAGTTGACTGATATTGTCCCTTCATGATGTGAGTCTAACCCTGTTGGCACTTATATGAGAGAGTGAAGAGTCACAGGCTTGGTCACGTGCATCCGCTTCACATGCGCAGATTGGAATGTGCCGAGGTTAGATATGTTTTTTTTCTTTTGAAGGGGAACACAAGCACTTGATTTTCCACTACTATTCGGAAATGAGATGAGATAAGCAATTAATATGAGTCAGGATACGATACAAGTTGTATGTTTGCACTAAATTAATTTCTATTTACCATTACACAATAACAAAAACTAAGTATGACTTGTACCGAAAAAATGACTGCTCCCCTGCGAAAGACAATCTGAATTATTCCTTTGCTTGCCCCTGCGCCATGAAGATGGGGAATAATCACATAGATTTTGATTGTTAAACATATCCAAGACTTTTTTCTTATTTTACTGCATTTCTTTTGCCACCTATTATGTTCATTTTCAATTGTGATCAGATAAATCCCAAGCATACACACATTTTCTCAAAGTTCAATAGTCCAAAAAGCTATCTACTAGCTCCCATTGTGGGAAGAGGGATTGTTCATTGTTTCAAAATGTTTTGTATTATTCTGAAATTATGTATTTCTTGTCTTTTCACGAACCTGTAAATCACTATTTATGAAAATGTGGGTGTGTAACGAAAGATTGAAGAAGAAACGCTGAAAATAGTATGTCAAAGTTTATGTACTGCGCATGCGCACAAAATACAACATTTGAGGTGCCTCCATATCTGAAATCATTTTCGACATGTTCTGTTATATGATGACTAATTTTGGTGCTTTTATCATCAAATGCACAATTCTTATGAAAACCTGATCTTAGCTGCTCCACTATAAGCATTATTTGGATTGTTGTAACATCCGTCAAAAGATCTAACATAATCTGTCTTTACTGAGAGTGTTATTGGTAAATGTTCTGACTCGATTCGAGATTGTATACTAAAAGCACCCTCAAAGTCAAATAATATTGATGATGAGAATATAATCGGTTAGGCTTGTACCTATATTACCTATATACGTAAAATCTCCAGTTTCTAGAGACCCGTGAAGGTCCAGGTTAGAATGAAGCTTCAGTAACCCATGCTTGTTGTAACAGGCGACTAACGGGATCGAGTGGTCAGGCTCGCTGACTTGGTTGACACCTGTCATGTACATGCTGTTGATCACTGGATTGTCTGGTCCAGATTCGATTATTTACAGACCGCCGCCATATAGCTGGAATATTACTGTGTGCGGCATAAAACTAAACTCACTCACTCCATCACCAGTTTCTAGATTGCTACCACAACATCCGTTCAAAATATGGATAAGGTAGAACATAAATCTAGTAAGGTTTTACCAAAGTTGTTTAGAGTTCTGTTGGCGGAAAAAAACTTTTTGGATTAAAAAACTTCAGTTAAAAAGTCCCAATAGGATTCATTTTCTATTTTATGTGTATTCTAATAAATAGTGATCCTCTACAAAGTCAGGGTTTGTGCCAGTTCGAGCATTAAAATCTCCACCACAGAGAATATAAACATCCGGTAGATTAATATATACAACGTCTAATAAAGGAACTTGAGGAGGTCACATCTTTCTGCTCCGGTAGTCTCCGATGCGCCGTAAAATGTCAACGAGAATCGTGCCCTTGGCCCCACCCCTTGGGAGAATGTTCCTGGGAGGGCGACGCGAATCCGACCTGAGACCATGGCGGGGTCCCTGCTTCAATATCTAGTTTCATCACATATCCTGCTCTTTTTTAATACTGTCTATGTCCTCTCTCAGCTCGTGGATGTCAGATTTCATGTCTCTTATGTCATCTTTGATAGATCATTCACTGATCATTCTTGAGCTATCTGTGCACAAATTGTGTCACTATTGTCGCACAAATGTAAACATACATTTTCCCCAGACAGTAGATTAAAATCAAGATGCCTGGTGTCAGCACAAACTTCCACATATCGCAAAAGGGAAAAGGACAAGATGAAATGTATCGAGAATAGCACAGCACAGAGAATTAGTGTGTAGGGAACATCAGAGCTGGCGGTGTACACGGTGCAGGTGTCGCAATGGCCGACCTGTCGACTACCCCTCGTGTGTGTAAAGAGCCTGATACTCGCTCTATAGGGCATTAGGTCTATCATAATTAGTTCATAAAGATGCTTTAGTCCTTATAAAGTAGTATTGATGGTTGGTTGTCAAAACGGTATTTTGATAATTACCTAAATTTTCTCAGCTGCTGTGCTACGTGAAACTGTTGATAGGGGCGAGTAACTCTGTCACTCATAGTTTGACACCAATATATTTCAGCTCGGGTTGAGAGACTTCGCTTTGCCACTATACTTGAAGAGTACGCAAAGAAAACTACAGGTATGTACACCTGGCCCGCAAATGACCTATTTCGCTTGCCGCTGTTAATAACACCCCTGATCATGATTGTTGGCATGTTTTCATGGAAATAACTCCTGCCCATCGGTTTCGCTTCCCTTTAAGTGGAAATGGCAACTGACATCTGTTCATTGACATTTTTCCAACAATATCACGGCGAGGGACACCAGACATTGTACCCATGGGGGAATCGAACCCGATTTTTGTCGTGATGAAGTGGTGCATTCTAATTCTTTACCTTTATGCAACCATTTCTCGTTTTTAATAAACGTCCCCCTTTTTAAAAAAAACTACTGCTTTAGTTTTGATTCTATTTACAGTTAATTTGTGTTTGTCACAATAAATCTCAAGTTTTTGGTAAACCTCCAACAGTGCTTGAGAATAGCACGATATCGTCTGCAAAACAGAAGAAAAATATGTACTAGGTTAGGGTGTAACTGTATTCCATCATCACAAGTGCTCTCAATTGGGGCTGCTAATTCGTTTATGAAAAATAGAATAAAAATGGGCTAAATATACAGCCTTGTCTTACCCCGAGTTGTAGTTCAAAAGAATCTGAGAACTCATTGTTTTTCTTAACACAAACTTTAACATGTTCATACATATTATAAATCATCTTATTTCGTTTTCGTACTTGGAGCATGGGTATTAAAAATAGACCATAGCTTTTGTCTGTCCTCTAAATCAAATGCTTCTCCAAAATCAACGAAAAGAGCATAGAGTTTACCGACTTTGCTGATGAGGTATCTCTGTATAATACTTTGTAATATAAACATACTGTCAGTAGTCGTATATCCATGTCTAAATCCAGCCTGAGATTCATTTATTTTAATCAGTGCCTCTCTCCAAATTACTAATATTGTGTTAATAATAGAAGTGAAAACCTTTCTAGAAATACTCAAAAGACTAATGCCTCTTATTATTTGGATTATCGAGACTGTCTTGCTAATGGACCGGGACAAAAATCCTGATTGTCCAACTAATTGGAAAAGTACCATTTTCAAATATACTCTCCAAAAAAAGAAACGCATATAGGAATTTCAACTGTATTTTTATGTTTATTTTGAAACATCTTGTAGGCTTTATGAGTCAATGAAATATAGCGAAATTGCACACTGGGAATGCAGCCTTATCCGTCTTTGGCACCAACTCGAGGAAAGTCAGTTTAAGTGTCACATGGAGACGTGTGGTGGCGCTGAAGTCAATACCTCGTGTGACCACCGTGGGCATCCAGAACTGCACGGCATCGAACAAATAAGTCTCAGAATCTCGTGTTGCCCAATCGCAACCCACTCTGCCTGTAGTGCCTGTGCGAGTTGCTGAAGTGTCTGGGGCTGAGGGTTACGGCGTCCCACCCGTCTGTCCACGGCATCGCACAGATGTTCGATCGGGTTTAAGTGCGGTGATCTTGAGGGCCAGGGGAGCACATTGATGTTGTGGTTCTGGAGGAAGTCTCTAGTGTGACGTGCTGTGTGGGGCCTGGCATTGTCTCCCTCTGGCGATCAATGATCGGAAGGAGGTGTGGGCGTAGGATTTCGTCACAGTACCGTTGAGCTGTCAGGTTGCCCTGGATCATCACCAAATCACTTCTCCTACGGCAGGTGATCGTTCCCCACATCATAACACTACCCCGGCCGAATCTGTCCACCTGGGGAACGCAAGCGTCGGCGAAATGTTCACGTTGACGTCTGTACACCCGCATTCTTCCATCGCGTCGTTCCAATAGAAATCGTGATTCATCACTGAACCAGATGATACGCCAATTCGGTAGGTTCCAGGCCTGAACGTTGGTGCACCATTGAACTCGATGTCGACGATGTTGTTGTCGAAGCACAGGGCCAAAATAAGGTCTTCTGGCACGTAAACCAGCCTCTCTTAACCTGTTCCTGGCGGTCTGTGCAGAAAGCCTCCTCAATCCGGGTATTTGTCGAGCAGTACTGGTCGCCGTAGCTGTTCGATGACGCAGGTGATGTACCCGTAGGTAGCGATCCTGCGATGCAGTGGTCGCTCGAGGTCGCCCACTACGAGGGGTTTGGTGAACATTCATGCGTCGGGCAACTGCACGTTGAGACTGGCCAGCTTCAAGCAAACCAATGGCGATATGACGGTTGGCTTCACTTAGACGTGGCATTTTGCGTTCGTCAACAATATTCCAAATACAGTGAATAATCGACAGACAGCGATCAACCTTTTATACCCATCGATCATTGAGACGATCTGATCCCCAACTTTCACGTGCATTACATGTGAATTGTGTATTCTGTGACACTACAGGCCGAAATTGAAAATCATGCTGTTAAATACGGGTATTTTACGGATGGTGCGTTTTGTTGTGATGTTTCAAAACATAAACACCATAGGACTCATAAACAGAGCAAAACCTTTTGTAAAATGAATCACGTTTTAATTCATTGCTACATGAAATTGCTATTTTCATGATGCGTTTGGGAGAGTATATTATATTGAATAATAATTCTAATAGGTTTTTAGCATTTAATGCTGTCCAAAATCTATTCCCTAATAATAGGACAATGTTTTGTCAGGAGATGTTGATGGATTTATTCTCAGTTTCGAAGTTGAAAAGATTTCTAAAATGTCGATGCCACTCATTCGTACAAATATTGTTTGGTTTTTTTTTGCTACGGTAGAAGTGTTCAAAGTTTTCAGTTCAAAGCGAAACCTTTTTGAGTGCCATGTGCTATTTTCTATGTCTAACCGCTTTTCTTTATAGTAGCCAAGTCGCTTTTGTTTACACACTGCATTGTATTCATTTCTTATCTGACAATATTCTTCAAATGACCTCTTATATTCCGATTTTCTAAACTTATTTAATAACTTACAACGTTTAGTTACAACTTTCTCACATGCCCTATCATACCATTTGTTTGATATTTCTTTGATGTGCCAATCTTGTCTTTTCATATTTTCCGCAGCTAAACTGAGAGCATTAGTGATATATTTAATGGCGTCATCAGTAAGCAACTGATTTATCAAGTAATGATAAACTGGGAGCATTAGTGAGATATTTAATGCTGTCATGATATTTTTGTGAATGCGTACTCAACTGATTTATCAAGAAATGATTATCAACATGATCAGACAAGAGATTCTCTCTAAATTGTTCAGCTTTATCGGGTTCCCAGAAAAGCATTAATCATTGGGTGCTCTAGGGTGCTACCTCGTTTGGGCCAGTTTAATTCATAATATATCCCTCAGTTCTTATAAATCAAATTCTTCCATTTTCACCCCGTGCAGGTTGGCTACTGCCTCTGCACATTAAGCTTTTGTCAGGCCGGCTCGAGCTCGGCCCCTGCAATTGCTTCCATCTCGGGTTCTCGCCCCTGCAAACAATCTTATAAAATATTTAGTAAGTATCAACCGAGCAAGCTCCCAATTATGTGCCAAATTATTCTGTGAGTATATATATATTCATGTATAATAAATCTATTTTAATTCATTCTTGCTTGTGTTGTTTCCGCGCAAAATGTAAATATTAATGTTTTTGTTTGTGCAGAAACAAGTCGTACGTATCTTATTCATTTATTTTCTAGGCATAACTACATCAACATTGTTATACCATAGCGTACTATTTCACTTCCTTGATCTATATTGTTCTACGTAAGTCTACATAACCTCAATAATGGCTTCACTATTTCCCCACTACAATCCGCTAATTTCCGTAGTGCTTCCTTGAATTTAGCTTCTCTCACAGCATTTAGTTTCGTATTCTACTTCCGTTTAGGCGCCTTACATCGGGCTTTTTATAGTAATTGTAATTAGCATATATTCTCGTACTCCTATTTGACTTGACCAAATCCTTAAATTTAGTGTCTCAATATATATTTTCAACTTATTAATAGTTCGTAATTAGGTTCACATATTTTCATGGCGTCACCTATTCCTGCGCGCATGTGTAGCTGCGCACGCAGTGTATTTTTTTGTCTTCGTTGTTGTTCAGCCCTAGCGCCATGTTTGTACACCCTGGGCTTCCTCCTTGGAGCTGTGCATGGTTCTACTTACCTTATTTCTTTTCATTACATATTCCCAATTTCTTAACATTTCCATGTTATTCATACTTATTCCTGGCGGCCAGTTTAATTCATAATATATCCCCCAATTCTTATAAATCAAATTCTCACATCTTCACCCCGTGCAGGCCGGCTACTGCCTCTGTACATTAAGCTTTTGTCAGGCGGCTCGGCCCCTGCAATTGTTTCCATTTCAGGTTGTCCAGGCCAGTTACAGCCCCTGCAAACAATCTTAGAAACTATTTAGTAAGTAGCAACAGAGCCAGGGTCCAATTATGTGCCAAATTATTCTGTGAGTATATATGTAATCATGTATAATAAATCTATGTTAATTCATTTTTGCTTGTGTTGTTTCTACACAAATTTAATGGCATCATCAATATTTGTGAATACGTAATCAACTGATTTATCAAGTAATGATTAATATCAACATGATCGGATAATAGATTCTCCCTAAATTGTTCAACTTTATCTTTTTCCGCAAAAAACGTATAATAGTGGAACAGCTAAGCAGATAAATGTTTATTAAATGACAAAAGCATGAAACTTTACGCATTTATATTTTGATGCATAGTGAACATTTTAGGATATGGAGGCACTCAAAATAATTTCATTTTGCGCATGCGCAGTAGATAAAAAATAATTATTTTCTGGCTACTGTTCTAGCTTTGGGACTGCCATCAATACCCTATTAGGACGACTTTTTTTAAAATACTGACCCAAAATATTGGTTAAACATCTTGAAAACATAGCTGAGTCAATGTTATGAGCACTGGCTCTCGCAACAACAGTGAGGATTGTTTGCACTTGCATCAGTTGTTACACCCTTTTGTACAGACACGATACCAACACCTGACAAGATTGTGATGCTTGGGGTAGTGTCGTCCTGTACGGGACATACTGTCCAATTTCGTTCTGTATCCAGCCCCACGTAGTTGGAGATGGGAGTTCAGG